ATACATTTCAGCACAAACAAAAACTGTTTATTTTGCCATGACCACAACTTAACTTCAACTGTTCAGTTACAGAAAAAGTTTGAGGGTCATTGCTGGTTGTAAACCCTTCATATGCAACTCTTGCTGAGATGAATATCTCAGTGACCAGGCAGGTATCAGCCCATTCAATTTGACCAAGCTCAATCCTAAATGAATGTAGAGGGGAAGGAATCACTTCTCTTATAGGAGATTAGAAAGAGTAAGATTAGTATTATTAGTTTAGACTTTTTGTGCCTTTGCACACACAGAAGAAACAAAAAATCCTATGATATGATCACAGAATCATATGGCAAAAAAAGAGACCAGATGGCATGAACAGGCACAGAAGTGAGGCAGAGATCTAGCTGAAGCGACAAATAATTTTGACATGAAGGAAAGAAACTAGTTCTTAGAAGCAGAAGCTGAAAAAGATGTAATGGGAAGAAAAGACAAACTATATTCTTGCTACTGCTGTTACACAAACTGAATTGCCTGATTTGCATCTCTTGGAGATGGTAGACTAGGCTTTGGGATGACCTTAATTTAAAGGAACTTTCTCTTAAGGTATCTCTTACGAGAAACAAAAGAAAAAAAAGGATTATAAAACAGTGTGCATGAGATAATGGTTGCTTCTATAGTGTTACTCGCTGCATTTTTAACTCAGAAGAAAACCCTTTCTTGTACTTAGAACATCTACGCAGTTATCTCCACCAGGTAGAACATCTCAAAAATACCAAACATGTCAAGTTATAAAACCAATGGAGCGGAGCTGTGACCTCAAATACATACATACATGTATACATACATACACACATACAAAACATCTGGAGATCATAGCAAATATAGCTGAAGACTCTATGCAACTGGTTCATCAATCTGCAACTTGCTACAATGCTTTCAATTTCAATGTTAATAGAATTTACCCATTTCCTGAGTCTGTAAGGACAAGAAGAATTGGACAGAGGGGGACTGGAGAAAGGAGAGTAGCACTGAACTGGCTAGACTTTAGGTAACTGGTTTCTCTACATTCACTGCTTAGATTTCACTGAGTTGAAAGCACTCCAAGACAAAGAAGACAAGAAACCTAAAGTGCTTCTTCAAAGGCCTGCATTTTGATTTGGCACTACTGTACGATTCTTCAAAGTACGCTGTTATCAAATAAAAAAGTGTCATAGTCTAGAGCAGAATGAGACCCTCTGTTTCTAAAAATCACTTTCTTTCTATGTATCCTTTGGTCTAAATTATCTTCTCAAGTGGATTCTGAAGTTGGGATTCTGTCTACATGGTGACACGGTCTTTCTCCTTCTTTGCAAGGTGGTAAGTGAAAAGGGAATCTGTATAAAGTGTTCCTTGTGCAAACCAGAAAGCTTATAGTCTCACTGGAAAACACTGTCATTTGAAAAAAGGAATGTAAGGACAGGTTTAGGGAGGAACCACTGCATCACTATGACTACATACACAGGCATCCATTCTTTTAAAATCTGACTTTCAATTGCCAGAAAGGTCTGAGTTTTCTCACAGTACCCAGGCTACCAGATAGTAACACCCAAAGCAACCGGCTGCTCAGGGAAGTTAATAAATCATTTGTTCTAAGCATCACAACAAGCAGACCTATCCACTGGAAAAAAATCAGTTTTAAAAGGAAAGAGGAGCAGCTTTATCTACTATGAATACCAGAAGCATATTCCATCCAGAACAGTCTCTTTAGCAGCCATAGCTATCTGCTGTAAATTATCATGGATATATGTAAAATCAGAGCCAAAAATTCTTTCAAAACTCAACAGCATTTAGGTCATCTGCACTCTATTGACAGACACTGAACTCTGAAACCATAATGATGTAGCTCAGCAACAGTGCATGCTGTCCCACTAATGAGGCCCTTTTTCCATGAATAATGAGTATGGACATCAGCTCTGTTGCCAGGTACATAATATAAACACAATTTAACACATGGCTTTTGGTAAAGCAGTATGTCTGCTTGCAGAGGCTGAGGTTTTGCATAATGTGATCCAACTTTTTAGCCCAGGGTGGGGGCAGACTGCTCAAGGAAATAATTTGTTCATATGTTATCAAAATACAATAAATCAGTTTTGGTCTTAGTCAAAAAAAGGAAGAGGAGTGGGACCAACAGAAACTGCAGATAGGAAAGTATAAACGAGTTCATTGTTTTATATTCCAATAAATCTTACAACACATGAAGCTGATGAGTTCTAAAATGAGCTGAGACTCCCTGAGATGGGCCTTCTGAGACTCATGAACTGTAAGGGTTATACTGGTTAAGCCTGTGTTCACTGAGTCCTTGTGCATACCTAGTGTATATACACACCTTTGTTTCTATATGGCAAAGCGAGACTTGAAACTGCATGGGTCCAAATAGACAAAGTGAGAAGAGTTATTTATTTGAAAATCCTTATTTTTTACATTTACAATCTCAGTTTTGACTCTATCAAATGCTTTTGAGAAAACAAAATGCACCTTCCAGTTTTCTCAGCTTCCATGACATAAAGTGCCACTGTGGTATTGTTTAAAACCAGAGATCAGTGCTTTAGTATGCAAAAGCACAGATGGCATGGGAGTTCAGATTTGGGAGTGTATGGCTTAATTCCCTGTTCTGTCACAGTTCTGCTATTTCCCCAGGCTATTATCTCACAACTCCATTAAAGACTGGAGGGTGCCAACAACCTATGGCGCTTAGGGCATAAAAATGAGCATTTCTATTTACCTGCCTCTTAATATGCCAGAATTCCTGTATCACAGGAATTAGTGAAATTCAAGGAGCTACAAGAAAGAGTCTGATGTTACCACTTTAACTGCAGATTTATTCAACCAGGCACAACCAAGATCTTTTGCACAGTCATTACAGTTACTGGATGGTAGTACTCAAGGGCCTGGGTGACATTTTCATGTTCACTTAGAATTATTTGACTCCAGAAAGAGTTGAAAACATTCCAGGCTAGACAGGTAGCAGCACTGTTGCCTGTAATCAGCTGCTTATGTATCTTTTGTTAAATAACCTCAGGTCTGCCACAGTCTACTGCAGGGGTCTGAATTTGACTGTATGATCATGTTAGTATCAAGCCAATGGTCTAGTCATAGACTCTTTAAAATTTACCTTGATTTCCTAAGTTTTAAGATGTTAGAAGAAAGCAATTAGCACATATTTAGTGGAAGCTTCAGCAATTTTTTCAGTTATACACTCCAAAGATTCTTTGCTCATCAAGTACACACATCTCAGTACTCCAATAAACTTACGCACCATCCCCTTGTCACTGTTCCATGGGATGATACAGGGCCAAGGACTGGGGCAGACAGCAGGAAGCCTCTGTCTGTGTGGGCTCTCACTGTTCTGCTTTTTTGGCATCCAGGCAATGCAACAGAGACTGTCAAATAAAGAGAAGGCAAAAGCCACAGAGAAAAGGGTAGATGGAAAAGATGTCTGCTAAGGCAGGAACTAAAAAGTCGGTGAGGAGATGCGTCATGACCATCACCACCCCAAAGATAAGACTGGCATAGGTAGGTAGGAGAGGCAGAAGAACGGAATTGGAAATGAGCAGTACCAGCTGAATAAGGAGCCTCTGGTAGGAACAGGAGTTCTATTGCTCTCTGGCAATAGAAAGCTGAAACTGACCATGCAAGAGAGAAGACAATTCAGTAAACAAACAGGACAGAAGATCAACTACGGGCAGGCTGGTAAAGATGCTAATTCCTTCAAAGAATCAAAGAGAAAGAGAAGCCAAAGCACTGTGGATAGAGGCTCCAGAGCCCATAACTGGTAGTCATTTATACAACAGTACCTCAAATGATGGCCATCTACCTTTTCAAAAACTTTAGAAGTTATAAGAATTAAAATCTCTGTTCAAAGAACACCAGAAAGGCTGTAAGAGCTAGTAATTAAGAACATTTTAAAGGCTACAAGATTAACCAAGAGAAAGAGTTAAGAAACACCAAAATTAAGGCTGTTTCACTTGATTTACCTATTTGATCAATGCATGTTATAATCTCATTTTTAGTTACATGATTACATAATATTCTATTCATAAACTCCCTTGCCATACTCCAGTGCACAGAATGAGACATCTCTTAGGATGCGTGAGGACTGTGTAGTAACACACAGGAAAATGATGGCTTTAGGATTCCTGAATCACTTGTTGCAGACCTTGGAATGCAGGTAGTGACAAAGTCTGGGACTGCAGGAAGAGTATAAAGAGTGGCACTGTGAAGGTTGATGAATATTGAGCAAGAGAATTGGATTGTATCCCTGTTTCTGTCGCAAAATTTCTACACAATGCAAGGAAAACTCATTTATTTTAAACTAAACAAAGTATACCAGTTGATGTTTCTTACTCTGTCCCTTCTCCGCTTGGGATCCTGGTGTCTTGAATTCAAGTTCAAAGGGCTAGAGCTGAAGTCAGCAGGAGATGTGATTTGAACATAAAAAGTGATGCAATACTGCATAAATCAATGTTTGCTGAAAAATACTGAAAATTACTATTACAAGTTCACCAAATCTTCCGAGCTTTCCAAGATTTCCCAGTAAGACAGGAAGTCTGCTACTCACTAGACTGCTGTGAAGTTATATCAATCAATGTTTGTAAAGTACCTGTAGCTACTAAGTCAGCATTCATAGAAAAGCCAACAAGGGATCTGATAATCTCTTCAGACAACATTTGAATATCATGCAATAAAAAGTCTGCAGAACCTAAGTGGTCATTATTTAAACATCATCAGAAAGCAAAGAAAGCACTGAGGAGTTGCTACTAAGTGCATTACCACTATCTTGTACAATTAATTAAGCATAAATCAGCAAAAAAAATTATGCACAATGTTTAATCTTTGGATTAAAGACTGTGTTAAGAGGATCTTTGAAGCTCACACCAATCACCTTAATTACAATGTTTCCTAAATTTTAAGTGTTTAACTTAGAAACATGGCTTCTCTGCAAGAGAACCATATAGAAAAAACATAAATATGTATGAACTTACCATCATACTTTGCTAAGACTGCCTGGACATCTGCATATGCTTGCAGTTCCAACAAAGCCTCTAGCAGGTTTTCATGGATGTTGAACATGCTGAGCAGAGGAAACTCCTTCATCAGCTATAATCAGTGACATATAAAAGAACTGGATTATTAACATGGAAAAGGGTTTCTTTTCAAAATACATTGAAATAACCAACACCAGGCTAAACCCCCTCAGTTCCCCTTTTTCTTGACTCTCTCCTGGAGTTCACTATTGTCTCAGAAATTTCTGAGCTCTTAAAGGACATTAGGTAAGGTTTTTTGACAAGACATGCTTTGCATAGGATGCAATTTGATAAATCCAAGAACATAGCTGCCTGAATGCATTACTCCCCTTCAATTAACACGTTTCTTCAAAGAGAAGAAGAGTTATCTTATCAAACTGGACAATAATCTTCAGCAATGCAACTCATGTGTATCAGTAGTAAGCAAACATCACCTCTTTGTTATATTAGCAAAAAAATACATTGAAAAAAAATAGAATAAAATAAGAAAGGCTTACACATACGCAACTGAATTATCAAATACAGGAGATGAGAATCTGTAATCATGGTACTTTGGAACACAACTGTAATTGTGGCAAATATATTAAAAAAAAAAGGCAGCACCAATAGGAAATTTATACAAATTTATTTATAAATTTATACAAATCAAACAAAAACATTTATACAAATCTAACACTATAATTAAAGAATCCATCTTGTATTTTAAAGTGAATGAAATGTGTAGTTAAAATGATGTAATTCTTTTACACATAAACGCCTTTACTTTATGAACTAACCCTTTGAGAGATACCAGGTTATTTGTTCTTAGACACTGCTAGTTTCAGTGTCTGCATAGATTCAAATGACTTGAAGCTGATATTCTACTGCATTTCCTTTCTGAAGCCATACTTATTAGAAGCATCCGTGTTTTTTACTGCAGGATTGATTAATTTATTTATTTTTTTATTCTCAGAGTGATTATCTAAAGAACTGAAGTGTTAAAAGATCCTTGTTCCCTTGTGTCTTCTTCGTGATTGTTATACCTTAACTGTCTACGTCATGTAGACTCAGCACAAAAAGGTCTCATACAGTGTAGAACTAGGATAGCTGATATTGCTGCTGTTCTTCAGGAACTTGCAGGGGAACAATGTAATTTACAATTTCTCTGAGATGGTTTATGGCAACAGAAGTACTGTAACAAGCCAAGTAAAAAACTGATTCAAGGTCAGCCTTGCTCAATTTGAAAACATTAAGCTGGACCTGAAAAATTTGTAATTTAATAAACCACTTTTAAATATATAAATAGAGATACTGATGAGAACCAGCAAATTTTAATCTCACAAATAGATAACATAAATAAAATTAAGCCAGGATTGAAACAAGAGGGGTAGACATTCACCAAGAACTTTCGAAAATGAGAAACAGGTAATGCACAAGAGCTTCTTCATTGTGAAGGCAGAGACCTTAACAGGTAAACAGAGATGCAAAGCTCAGCAAATGTTTTCCTTGCATTAATGGTCTGGCATAACCTAATTTAAGAATGACCCTGACCATAACAGAGAATCATGATCACTGAGACAGCAGCTGAAAGAGCTCATAGAATTTTTTATGCTAGTGGCATGGTGATGGCCATAAAACTCCTAGTTTCAATGGTAAGAGGAGAACCTGTGAAAAAGAACACAAAGCTGCATGGTTTGCAGGTTTTTCTCCTTCGTCAGTTTTCTAAAAGCTGGACCAAAGGCCTTTGTACTTATCTAGGTAAGTGGAAGGACCTTACAATAAAATAAAAAGTTTAAGTCATTGCTTGCAAAGAAAAATAACTGCAGGCGAAAATTCACATAGTTGGAGTCATCAGTGAAATATCCATCATAGAGACTACATCTCTTCATTCTTGAACTTATTTTCTATTCCATTTTTAACAGAGGAAGCTACTATTTGGCAGAAAAAAGCATGACAGAATCTGGCCCTACCTAAATAGTGATTTAAAGTTCAAAATGAACATATTGCAAAGAAAGCCCTTCATGGGATTAAGAAAGATTATCCCTGCTCATTGAGAATGAATAATGGCTGGTGGAATAACATTCCCTCCATCAATGAAGAAAAGGGAAGAGCTGCAGCTAGTTATAGATGCACTGTGGCCAGTAAAAGCTATTACTCTGGTTCTCCATTTCCAACTGACATCACACACTGATTAGCTTTTCTATTTTAATTAGGTTCTATCAGAATGATAAACCCTGCCTATGACAGCAGCAGAATAAAGGTCACTGTCTTCCAGGCCTGCAAACAGACAAGTGTTAATAAAGGTTTATTTTGGGACAGGCTGAACATTAAGAAGACCAACCCAGTTATAATGAACTCAGCTGATACAGCAACTACAAAAATAAAACACTTCTAAGTAGCCACTCAGCTATTCAAACATTGACTCTTGCACAGATAAGAGTACATTTGCTATTAAAAAGAGAAAAGAAGACATGAACCCATTTATCTGACATGCCAGGATGTAAAGTATAGAGCTTCCACTGCAAATACTTTTCAGTCACAGTACAAATTTGCTTTTTGAAAAAGTTCCCAGAAAGTAAAGCCACTTAGATGGAAGTATATTATGACAGGTCATCTTTTAGGTCTCATAGGAAAAAGAAACACTAAGGAAAAAAAACACAACAAAACTACAGAGGTTGTAACACAGGCCTGCTGGGTGGCCAGCGCAAACCAAATACTGTCTCACAGAGGGTGGACCATGAGCCTGCTCCTCCCTCCCCTTCCTAGCAGATGGAGAAGGAGGCTGGCTGGTACTCCATACAGAGATGTAAAGACAGGCATGTTATCCCTGAACATGAGATGAAGAACACTCTTGAATTCTCCAGACCCTTACAGCTCTGACTTCTAACCTGGACTCCAAGAAGCACAGACCGCCCACTGTATCCAGATTTATTTTCTGTGAAGTTACAAACTAACATTTGCCAAATTATTGGTCTTGTAATTTTTATTTCTCTTTACATCTTTACTGGAACCTGACAAATACTTTCAGTGGCAAGTACTGCACTAAAAGAAAAGATGAAGACTCCATTATCATCTTTCTGCACACCTTAAGATGTCAGGAGACAGTCATCAAATTCAGCACTCCAGATTTCTCAACAAAGATACTACAGCTCTGTACATAAACACTAGTTCAGACTAAAAGACTCATTGTCAAATTCCAGTTAGTTGGTTTCTCAGCTGATATGAAAGACCAGTGCTCCCCTGAGCAAAACTTACGAAAACGGACACCACATGGCCCTGAATATATTATTTTACAATATAAAGATGTTCAAACAGCTGCCAAATCTAGGTTCACAACAATTTACTTTGAACTTGTATTGGTCAAAATACTTCCCAGTGATGAAATTCAGACCTGCAGCTGGGTTAGCTCATATTCTGTTCAAATTGCTCTCCATGTTTGGGGGGAATAGAAAAATATGTAGAAGGAGGAATTGTTTTTCATTTAAAAGATTCAGTATGTATGCTTCAAATACATAGAAATGTATCTTTTGCAGATAATTAATAATTTATAATTTTTCAAGATAAATAATATTTTGGGATTACAAATTCACAGCCAAATTCTGGAAATAAGTCTGACACAATTGGATATCTTATCACTAGTCCTGAGAGGGCCATATTTCCAGACTCACCCCAATCCATATCGCAGGGTGTAGGTTCAATGATTTTGTGATGGATCTTCAAATGTGATTATGACAAAAAATGTTTTACAGTACAAGGAAATCCATATCTGATTTATTAGACGAGGAATAAGCTTTATCCCCCAAAGAACACTTTACTGAAGAGGACTCCCTTCCCTGAGAATATTTCAGTCATCAGCATTTTCTCATTTAGATCTAATTTTGAAACACTTTAAAGGAACATAGCTTTAACTGTTGCATCCATTATTGTCCCTGCGATAACATTAACATCACGCACCAATTAGCAATGATACATTATTTGTGAAGAAAACAGCTTTAAGCTACAGTTTTTGTCTACAACTGGACAACATGACTCAAGGGAATACAGAGGTGGATAAATGAATGATCTTCTATACAACCTGGTGTTGATACATTTATTCTCCATTTGTGTGAATGGCTGTATGCATGTTCACATTTTTACAGGCACTGCATGCAACCAGTCCTTGCTGCTTATACTCATATCTCCTCAACATAGAAACAAAAATAATTTTAGATTAATGTATTCAACTGAAAGCATTCATAAATCTGAAAAGTGAATTCAGCTCCAAATGAAGAAATAATAATAAGAAAACAAGAAAAATTAAATGCAAAAAGTGAAACTGTTGTGGTGTTAATCTCTAGCGTATCTTGTCCCCACAGTAGGTACCCAAAATAATAAAATCTGTCTCCTAAAATAGGAACGACTGAGGCTGCCATCTTCCAGGTGCAACAGTCCACCACTGTTGAAGGATCAAGCTCACAGTATGGATAGCACAGTTATTTTCACAAGAAATTCGCATAAGCTGCTTTCTGGTATATGACTTGTGTAAAAAATGTTAAATGAACAAGCTAGAACAGGCAACATTCCAAGCCATTTCTGAGTAGAAAAACAGAAACCTCCATTGCTGTGGGCTTCACTGTCTACAGCTGAGCTTTCAGATGTCTTTACTCTGACTGAAGGTGGGTTTGAGGCCTCTGCAACACATCACTCCACGCTGAATTTTCTGATGTCCAATAAGATACACTAATGTTTTTCTCCTGGCCAGCTCACCTGGCAAGGACAGCAGGGAAGAAACATTGCCAGCAATCTGAACCTAGCACACCAAAAGGCTCTGTTAACAATGTCAGATGCTTAAAAATTAGGCTAACCCCTGGTCCTAAAAATACAACTCATTCCAGTGTGATTTCATTGTAAGTGAGATTCATGATGATCCATGAGATCAATGGAAAATTATCTGAAACACACTGGACCTACCTGAATTAAAATTCTACTTAACTACAACAAAAGTAATGCATTTCTCCATGTGCTGCATTCCTTTTGACAAATAATCCCTGTTTTGTTTGGAAGCAGCTCTGCAGTTACTCTTTCACAGCTCAGGGAAGATAGAAGATAAGAAGC